AGGCATCTGAAATTATATTAATTCTAATATTTAAGAGACTAGGTTAGATGATAGTGAGTCATAGTCTGTCCTAACACAATCAGCAGTAAACTTGTGCTGAGCTGAACAGCATATGACAGTTGTTTTTTTTTTTTAAAAAAAATATCCTCCTCTTGCTTTGCATTTTGTCATGTGTTAAAACAGTTTTAAGTGTTACCTGATTAATTTTTTAAAAAAATCTAGTAAAACACTTTCAAAGTGACGGTAATATTAGCCTGCACCAGAACAATTCAGTATAATCTCATCTTCGTTGGAGTTTTCGGCTGCTGCTCTTTACTGTCAAATCTCCCAGTCAATTGCTTCACTCTAAGAGGGCCAATAGTGATCCTTACTTATTATCCGTTTTGCATTTACTTTCCGACTCAGGTTTCTTCCACCCGCCAGTCACTCTTGCCTGTTTGTTTAGCTCTCCCACGAGATTGACCTTTGCTGGATCTTGTCTGGTGTGTCTTTTCTGAGTCAATGTGCAGAATCACTCTTCTGTCATGTCTCAAAATCCACTTGTGTGGTATGAATATTTCCAGTGGCCTTGCCTAAACCATAGTCGTGACTGATGTTATTAAAGCTGCTTTATTGATATAAAGTGGATTTAAAGGGATGTGTGTGTGTGTGTGTATATATATATATATACACACAAAAGGGAATAAACTGTCCTCCTGTGCTTTTATATCAGTATAACTGTGTCTGTAATATCAGTTACATGGCATATACATGTGCATGTATGTGTACATAAAATTCATCCCCAAAGTATTTTAGTAATGCAAAAATCTGTGTATAATGGGCGTAATGAAAACAGCTTGACAGTCAACAGCTGAACAGAAACTTTCAAAAGTTTTTCTTTAATAATTGAAATATTAATTTTGAAGTCGTGGGCTTCCCATTTTGCTGCAGACAAGTAATAGCTAGTGAAGAGTTAATTTCAGAAACCTCCTCCTCACCCAGACAGTACTGCTACAGTTGACAGTAACTTCTTCATCCGATGGCAAGCTCATCTCTAAAATACTCTGCCTGGGATAACTGTGTGCACTTTCAGCAGTTATTAGGGGATAAGAGGAACTTAACTAACCATTTCACATGTGTTTTCTCTATACAAAGCTGTAATCCTCTATAGAATAGGCTTTGGGAAACAGGGCTGTTTCAGGTAGGGCTCTGATTTTCTTCTATTTATTTATCTAAAGACCTATAGCAGAATAATCCTCTGGGGTTGGTCAAGTCTCACTAGGGTGAAGGCTATCACAAATAAATAAGGTTTGTTCCATTTTCTGAGTAGAGTTACAAAATGCCTTTATACAACGGCAGCTGTGACCACACAGAACAAAGATGGGAAGAGAGTCAGGAATTACTGTGCTTTATACTGTCAAAGTCTTGTTAAAGCAGTGTCACTGCTGTGCTCTGTAGACAAAGGAGGGAGTCTTGGACCAGATGGGCTGTATCTGAGAGTGCTGGGAGAAACTTGAAGTCTTTGAAAGACCATATGGAATGGGGGAGGTCCCTGAGAACTGAGGAGAGGCAAATGTTGAACTTTACTTCATAAAACACCTGAAGAATAATTTGGAGAATTACAAGCCATCCAGCCTCTCTTCAATCCATTTGAAAATCAGGGATTGTGTCTTCTTGGAGTTCATTTCTGGGCACATGAGGGAGGATGAGGTGACTGGAACCAGTCAGCGTGGATTTATCAAGGGACTGACCAACTTGATTGCCTTCTGCAAGAAAAAAAATCTAAATTTGTATACATGATGAGAAAGCACTGGATGTGACCTTGACTTTAGCAAGGTTTGTCATGCTGTCTCTGACCATATACTTGTATCCAAGTAAGGCTGTTATGGGATGGATGGATGGATGGATGGATGGATGGATGGATGGATGGACGGACAGACAACTAGCTGGGGAAGAAACAAAGTGGTTGTATGGTTGGGCTCAGAGGGTAGTGGCCATGATCATGAGCCAGCAGGGTGTACTGACAGCAAAGGAAACCAAAGCATCCTGGGTGGTATGAACAGGAGAACTGCTGGTAGATTGAGGGAATTGACTATCATCCTTTGCTTTGCATTTATTAGACTGCACCTAGAATACTCTGTCAAGTTTTGGATATCCCCAATACCGAAAAGTCATTGACAAACTGGAGTGAGCTCAGGGGAGGGCTGCTGAAATGATTTGGGCTAGACCACTTGCCCTGTGAGGGCTGGGGAAACTGGGCTTGTACAGCTTGGAGAACAACTGTCTTTTGGAGGACCTAACAGTAGCCTCCCAGGACAGCAAAGAGGTTGTCTAGAAAATGTCACCAAGCTCTTTACTGAGGTCAGGTGGGAGGACAAGAGACAGTGGTCATAAAAGAACGCAGGAGTTTCTGACCTGAGGCAAAGAAAAACTTCAAGACAGTCAAGCACTGGAACTAGTTGCCCAGAGAGGTTGTGTAGTCTCCATCCTTAGACGTTTTCAAGACCCAGCTGGAGAATGGGGAGAGGAGCAATCTGGTTTGACTCCATAGCTGATGGAACTGTGAACAAGCGGATTGGACTATAGACCTCCTGAGGTCCCGTCTAACCTAAATTATTCTATGATTCGGTGAATCCAAACCTCCATTTTTGGATGAAGTAATGGAGAAGACTGTTGAGAATACAGTGTTTTGTAGCAGGTTTAGAATTCCATCTTTTTTCTTCTTTTTTTCCTCCTAGCTAGAATGTCTCTGATGCTCTGACTTCTTTCTTTAAACTGTGTTTCAAGGAACAGACTCTGATGCAGGTTTCTGCTAGTCATGACATTTGTGAGAATCCATTTGGCTTCCGTTTCCTTCCTCTGGTGAATGCTGGGGTAGAGAGCAGTGTGAGGAGAAGAGATGCTCTGCTTACAGTGTTGTAAAGCAGACTATGGTGTTGTGGTTTATTGTAGGAATTTAACCCGTGTCTGAAACGTGCAAGTGGGAGGTGTGAAGCTAGGGTCAGGGAGCCACGGTCTGATAATTTTGGTTGGCTGTTTTACTGATTCTGCATCAATATTCATTCATCTGACTTTGGTTGTGGAGAGTTTGTGTGCAGCAGTAGTATGTTCTTTCTCTGTACTTGCCTCAGTATTTTTGTGAAAGTAAAGACAGATAGTTATAAAGGCTATTTCGTATGACCACAATTACCTAACACAACATGGAGGTGTGGTCTCACCTTAAGCCCATCATCAGGGTAGCTGATCACAGTAGAACCTGAACTTGAACACAGTTATATAGATTGTGGTACGTTACATTTTCCAGCTGTATTAGCTAGTAAACTCTCTTTAAATACGTAGTTGGAGTTTGGTGGTGGTAATAGAAAAAAAAATAAAAAAATTCTGATTTTAGGAAATTTTTATTGCAATTTGTGTATACAAATGGAATGCCTCTGTCTTAAGAGAAAACTGAAGTGGTTGAATGCTTGAGGTGATTTGAGTAGAAGCTGGTTTATACTGTGGAAGCTAGTTTATACTGTGGTATTTTAAAAGTGTATTTTACAACCTGAACTGTATCCTGCCTGCTATTATTTTAGTGGTTTTTTTTTAAAAAGGAATTAAATATTTTATTCTTTTTTTTCCTAATAACTCGTCAGACTACAGATACTAGTATAAATTGAAGGCATGCTAGGTTAAATATTTATTGTGGCTGAGGTTTTCAATGGGACTTACGTGCTTAAATCACATTGTAATTCTTAGAAAACCCTCTTACATGCCCTTGCACAGCTCTGGCTACCTGCAAACGCGTGCAAGCCGGTGAGCACACAAGGCTTGTTAAAGTGAAAGGCTGTTAATGTGCTTGTTCTGTTTTTCTATTTTAAGTGTGGTGGGAAAGCAGGAAACTTCTACAGAGAGCTTTGCTTCCTGTGGAATTAGGGAAGTAATTTGGTCAAGTGTTTGACATACTGCTTGGCAAAGTGGAGTTATTGTAGCTGCGTCAACTCACTGGAATTCAGTTCCAAGTATATTTAGCTTTTCTAGCTTTCTGAAAACGTTATCTTTATGAAAACTTAACAGATGTTAAACGCCTTGTAAGTGAATGACTGGTGTCCTCTGTTTTCATTTAAAGTGAGATTTCTGGAAAACATGTGGTTGCAGGATTGTATGTTTTATCTTTCCCTTTTGCATAGTGAAAAAAACCTGTCTAGTGCTTTTTGTTACAGAGAAAAGAATTTTAAGGTAATTCTGTCTGGACCGAGGTACAGTAGCAATTGGTCATCTCACTCCCTAACTCTCCTTAGGAAAATTCAAACTCTAATATTTAGACTTAGATCCATCTTGCTTGCATTCATTTTACTAAACTCTCCTTTTCTGAAAGCCATCTGATCTAAACCGCTCATGTGGCTTTCCCCTTTTGTCAGTGGTGCGATAAAGACACTTTCAAGTATTGATTTCATCATTTATCTTAAGGATGAAACACTTGCTAAAAGTGACTTGTCTTTCCTATGAGGACAGGCTGAAAGAGTTGGGGCTGTTCAGCCTGGAGAAGAGGAGGCTCCGGTACCTCAAGGGGGCCTACAAGAAAGATGGGGAGAGGCTGTTCAGGAGGGCCAGTTGTGATAGGACAAGGGGTAATGGTTTTAAAATAGAGGGAGGTAGATTCAGGTTGGATATTAGGAAAAAATTTTTTACCATGAGAGTTGTAGAACACTGGAACAGGTTGCCCAGAGAGGTGGTGGATGCTCCATCCCTGGAGACGTTCAAGGCCAGGTTGGACGAGGCCCTGAGCAACCTGATCTAGTTGGAGATATCCCTGTTCCTTGCAGGGGGGTTGGACTAGATGACCTTTGAAGGTCCCTTCCAGCCCTAACCATTCTATGATTCTATGATTCCCCTCTGCACTGAGAGTACAGGGATCCCAAAACCTGACACTCAGCAGGTAAAGCCAGAGGGACAGATTTCCCTATAGAAGAATGGCGATGTGACCGTATACTCAGTGCTGCCACTGTTTAACACATCTTCTATTCTTTTTTTCCCAACAGGTTCATGAAGGATTCTTGGAAAACAAGACTGCTCCCATAAACATCAGTGCCACCAGCAGTTCTTCTGAGAAAAGGAGTACTGATTTACGAATATACATGCTGTGTTTCCTGCCGTTCATGATCCTCTTGGTCTTTATTCGTGACCTTAAGAGCCTGTCCTTGCTTTCATTGCTTGCCAATCTGTCCATGGCTGTCAGCCTGGTGATCATTTACCAGTATATTGTTAGAGTGAGTATAAAAAAGTTTATTATCTTTGTCTCAGTGTGCAAGTTGTATTTGTTGCACGTGGCAGTTGGTCTCTGATAGGTATATACTGACAATTTCTGAAAGGCAGAGTTATCTTGTATTTAATTCAAGCATCGTAATTTAAGGAGGTGCCTTAATACTTCAGACATGCTTTAAATACAGACTTTTACAGTACTTTTGAAAGAAAGGGTAACATTACTGCGCTTAAGATAATAAAAATATGTATTGTAGTGACTTGGAGTCTTTGAGTGGAAGAATACGTGAATTTTTATGGGTTGCACACAGAACTTGAAAGGTTTTATTCTGTGGTCAGTGTTTTTGTTGCAACAGAACAATTTCAACAGCAACGTTTATTTCTAATGTTTACTCCAGTACAGTCAGGAAAAATTTAAGATTTACCTTTTAAGAATACTTATTGCAGACTTCCATCTCCTGAGAAGTTGAATAGCTGCTGCATTTTCTTGGTTGCTACTGTTTTCATATTCAGAGGCATTTCATAATGAAACAAATTAAACTGATGTCTGAAAAAAAATCACATGTAGAAACCTTTACATTTTTCTTTTGTATGATTTTTGAAAATTGATAAGTGACAGACACCGTTGTACACGTGGTGTAGATAAGCAGTGGGTGCCACTGTTGTTTGAGAAAGCTTTCACTTGAGTGTTATGAGATGAGTGTTACGGGAAGTGGAGGAAGGCAGAAAAGCCAGCAAGAGGCATTGGCTGGTGAGGAGACAGGAGAAGTTATGCAGAAGAGGGAGAGATAGTGAGTAATTAGTTGTTCTTCAGGAACTCGGCTTGTATTAAAAAGATTTTCTTTTACTGTCCCTTATGGTTATGAAGAATATCTGTGTAGTATGAAAGCAAATTGGAAATGCAATCCTCTGAGAAGTTTGCAGAATATTAAGCTTGAGGTGTGAGCTTTCCCTTTTGTTTTAATTGATGCCTCATTCATATACATCGGTGTGATACTTTAAATGTGAAAATTTCTAGTGTCGGTAATATGAACCTAGAATAAATATATCTGCAAGTGTCTGTGTGTGAGTGGGAAGGTGGCTATAAATATGTATAAAGCACTAAGTTTGGGAGGAAAACCAAAGATTGTAAATAGCAATGTATAAACCACTATCAACATATACTGAGTTTTCTTTCCTATAGCATAACACATCAATCAAAACTGTAGTAACAGCTAATGTGCTTTACATAGCACTGTTTTGCTTTGTTTTATTCAGGATATAGTAGATCCTCGAAAACTGCCTTCTGTGGTTGGCTGGAAGAAATACCCGCTGTTTTTTGGGACTGCAATATTTGCTTTTGAGGGAATCGGTGTGGTAAGTGCTTTTTACTGGCTCTTCAAAATACCTGAATCTGGGCTAGATGATGGGATCCAGGCAATTTTACTCCTGTTGTTATTTTGCTGTTTTTGTTGAAGCACTGATCTCCCATGTTGATATGAAAAGGGTTAATTTATCTTGTCAAATAAGGCAGAAGTTGAGCACACAATGTCTCCATCAAAGGGGAATTTAGTGAAGGCTGATTGCTGCTTGGATGCTTAGCACCTTCCCAAATTACGAGAGTGCCTTTAGTTCCGAATAGATTGAGACCATATTGTAATAATAACTAGTATCGTAATATGCTATATAATAATATAATGCTCCACTAATAATATGATAATACTATAATTATAATGATTCAGCAGCTCAGTTTTAGGTGATGAGCATGTAAAAATAGAAACCTATTCAGCATCCTTCTTTTCCTTTGGCATCACAGAGGACAAAGTGATTTATTAGAAATGTATTATTCGTCCTGCTTTGAGCTTGGCTATAAGTGTGACTTGATAGAGATGGAGATGATAAGAAAAAAGATGGAAATTTCAGAATATTTTCTTTGATTCATGGCCTTCTGACAATGAACCTCAGTTCCTCATTGTTTCCTGAAAGATGTCAATTAAATAGATTTATCACTCTGAATTTTTTTTTTTTTAAAAGTGGATCATTTTTAATCTCATATTCACTTACTACTGTTTCTAAGGGCTTTCTGATTGCATCTCACACTAGCAAAGTCTGCAAGTTAAATAGCACTTTTGTTCCACATGGCATATTATGAAAAGTAGCTACAGAGGCTTCTGGAAATGGTAGGTTGTAATGTCTTTAAACTGTTGGGAAATTACTATATACACTTTATTTGTTACTAATATACTTCAGCAAGTGTTACTGTAGGCTTAAAACTAAAAATCAAATAAACAAACCCTCCTCCCCCTGCAAAAAAAAGCCAAACCAACACAACCTCAAACCAGCGTGCAAGTAATCTGAAATGATTGTCTGTCACTGACATAACGCAGAGGAGTTTTCAAACTGTGTGTTTGCAGCCAGGAATCTGAAATGAGGGTCCTGTGAGCCTCAGGAAGGTGTGGAAGCCTTACCATTTGGTAGCAGTAGTTTATTGAATCATAGGTATGGAATTGATTTATGTTAATTATTTTCTGGCATGTTAGATTCTCCATTAGCTCCTTAAATTTACATCAGCAGGAGTAACATTGACTTTCGACGTGAACCTTTAAAGAACTGCCCAGAGTGTTGTGCTTGACTGGATCCCTGGTTGTTACTAATGACATCTTTAAGAACTCCAAACTTTTTTCCTTCTTTTATTCAAGAGTGTATAATGTAGGATTCATTCAAATTGTATATTTAAAAGATAAAAATACTGATTGATATTATTAGATATTAGCATTGTACAGTTATTGCATGCATTTCTGTACAGGCTGTCTCAATTTCTTGATCATAATTTACTTACTTTTCAAAGCAAATGAAGAGTGCTTTTTATTTTTTTCACTCTGTCACTGATATTTACAAACTAATTAAATGTTTATGTTCATTACAGTTTGATGTACTTTGTAAAATGTAAAAATGAAAATCTAGAGCTTAATCTTTCTTTCTTATACACAGAATGATATTAGCATGTCTCTACTTCTCAGGGATATTTTGAGCATGCAGAATGTTTGCTATGCATTCTTATGCTGTGGTTGCATGCACCGTAGAGAAGATTTAAGAAAAAAGTGATTTTATGGATTTGAATAATCAGAACTAAACAAAGTTGTTGAAGCATGAAATAAAGAAGATGAGTGAAGCAAAGCGACACAGACATTTCCACTTTACATAGTTAATATTTCATACAATTCTTGGTGATCGATTCAATTGATAACTAGTTCTTGCAGCTCAGTAAGTTACCATCCTAGACTGAGCTGTGGCATAGCTGTATGAGTGTTTGTGACCTCTTGCAAATGTGCAGTGGAAGACGTTAGTTTAAAATTCTTTTATTGAGATGTAAGCTAATGTGTTTTAATTCACATTCCACGGATTAAGAATACTTGCATAGTCGGTTGCTGTTGTATAGCTGATGTGTGATACTTGTTACTTATTTACTGTTGTTCCTAGATCCATGTGGTTCAATTGTTCTGGTAAGGACAAAACCTCTATTGTTTAAGTAGATTGGCTCCTTGGTCTGCTCTCTCTAACTGGAGGTACTCAAAATGGATCTACCTAATCTTGGTTCTTAGAGACTTGATTTTGGATCTTTTACTGGAATGTCTTGCAAATAACACTTGTTACTGTAAGCAATCTGAGTATTGCATTATAAATAGAAGCCTTAAGGTCTTAATTTTCTCAGAAAAGTTGATTATGGTTGATTCATTTTATGCAATAAGTTGGCCTTGAACAGTTATGAGGCCTCATTTTTCCTTTTCCTTATTTCCAAACATACAGTATACTAATTCTCATCTGAGAGCTGACAGATTATTGAATGTTATGAACAGGGACAACAAATGAAATTCGGAGTATTTTGGGCTGGTTAAGTCACCTTAAGCAGAACCTGGCAAGGGAGGAAAAATGCCCTCGGTGTGGTTTTCTTACCACCATTATTCTATATAAAATGGTCTTTCCTGCTAGGAATATTTAATGATCAACAAATTGAGTAGAAGAGTATGGGATCTATAAGGCACAGTATAAACCAGTACACCTTAGCCATAGCAGTCAGCAGGATTTATTTTCAAAGATACTTAGTTGATTTTGTTTTTATTGATGAGGGAATGGCTAATGTAGACAAAAAAACAATTAGCAGTTGATAATGCCATGCTCAGTATGGAAAAATCGTTTGTCTGTTTTCTTTGAACCAAATAATAGACTTCAGGGAAAATACTCTAGCACTGATTTTTTTTTCATCCCATTGTTCCGAAAAGCTTTTTATACACTGAGGTTTTTATTTTATTTTCTTTTAGTTTTGCACTTTTCATCACTTAAAATACACTATGGGAATGTGATTCAGGGAGGTGCAGTGATTTGTCAGATTCCTCGTAGGATTTTCTTCTTGATCTTGAGAGCGTATTTCTCTTTTAGATAGTGTGTGTACAAACATGGGTTTCAGTTAAAATCTGTCATTACTTTAGGACCAATTAGCTGTCCCTATGTAATAAGAAAATCAGCAGTATGGAAGTAATTTGGAGTATTGTTGCTTTGGCTATAGTGAATCCCTTGATAAATAGACTTTAAGAGCCTTAATTTTACTAACTTGTGTGTGTAATAACTCAAAGGAAGAAGTGTAGCTTATTTATAGTTGAAATATAGAATCTGAAATAAACCAAGACAATGCCTAGAAACTAGTACTTGTGTAATACTAAGAGATAGTTATTTCATCAGCCAGTGTTACAAAACTATTTTGAGATATTTTCATTAAAATAAAAATAATTAATGTGATGAATTGATAGTAATGTGATTGAGCTGTGCATATCTGCCTGTGAGATCAATCTAAGCTCTTACCTGATGGCAGATTTGAAAAAATTTGTCATTTTGCAAAAGTCCAGGCAAATTGTTCATTTGTTGCAACAACTACTACAGCAGAAATTAGGTTAGTGCTATCAAAGGGCTGATTAGTGTTAATGCATGCTAAACGCTGAGTGACACTTGTAACAGGATTAAAAAGTGCTGCAGTCTGTTGCCTGTGCTGTTCATTTCTTTGCTCCTTGTATGGTTGTCTGTAAAAATATCATCACTGCTGATTGGTATAATCGTAGAATCATAGAACGGTTTGGGTTGGAAGGGGCCTTAAAGATCATCTAGTTCCAACCTCCCTGCCATGGGCAGGGACAGCTTCCACTAGATCAAGGTGCTCAAAGCTTCATCCAACCTGGCCTTGAACACTTCCAGGGATGGGGCATCTACAGCTTCTCTGGGCAACCTGTTCCAGTGCCTCATCACCGTCAAGAGTGAATAATTTCTTCCTTATATCTAATCTAAATCTGCCCTCTTTCAGTTTAAAGCCATTGCCCCTTATCCTATCACTACATGCCCTTGTTAAAAGTATATATAAGGTACCTGCTGCGATTCGTGAATGTCTTGGCAGCCAGGTGGTAATCATCGCTGTGTGCTAACAGGAGGAGTTGACAGTGAGGGTTACCCAGTGATTCCTTAGTACTGAGTTAACAAAGAGCAAGTGAGAACTTGGTACTGCCAGTCTGGTGGTTGTCATTCATAGTGTTGAGAGTTGATCTGGGATTTCAACATTTGTAAGTTAAGATTTTAAGATCATCAACGCGACCTCGCGAAAATCATGTTGACTGGTGGCATCAAAACAGTTCGTGGAACAGAAGAGTACTGCATTTCTGTTTGCTACTAAGGTGGATACAACAGACTGTTTAAGATACTCAGTTTTATTTTAGTCTTTAAAGTGACGATTTTGGTTCAGGAGGCAATAATATGTTGATTAGGAAATGGAGATAATGTATATTCAGCCCTCAGTGGACTTTTTTGAGTACAGGGCTCTGCTGGGGATGGGAGAATCTGCAGCTGTTTCTTTCCCTCTGTGCTTTAGCTTCTCTCTGGCTGTGGGTTCCCTGTGCCGGAGGGTGCTACCTGACAAATCACAGGGCCGGTGAGAAGAGTACCAACACTACTTCTTGAGTACAGGAGCTGTAGGTGATATAATGGAGCAAACGTATCTTGCGCAGAACATGTAACGTTATTTAGTAAGAACCATGTTTGAGAGCCTCTTTCCTACTCCAAAGATGAGTAGATCTGTTTTTATAATGAATGTGAGATTTTTGTTATTGAATTAAAAACTAACTTCAGACTGTACTCCTGAGTGTGCCTAAAATGTATCTAAACCTCTTGAACATAGTGTAAAACCAAAGCCTTCAGGCTTGGCTGTGTCTGTAGCATTACCATGTGCAGGTAATAGCTTTGCATAATGTTGTGCTTATATAATAGCAGTTATACTTAATGAATATTTTGCAGTGAAAGTCTGGATGGATTTCTCGTTTGAGGTATAAAAACCAAATCCA